GAGGTTGTTGCTAGCTAGGCTATGCCCAGAGTAGTAGCTCTGTTTGCAGGTCCGTACCTCTCAGTGGAGACAATGGGGGAAATTTTTTCGCCCGAAGGTATATAAGGTATTGTTCTTTGTTATTATATGAGGCAGTTTGTCATTATGTATTTTCTTGGCTTTGCGGCTCTTTTGTGTTGCAGCCGTATGTAGCTGAATTGCGTCAGCTTTTACTAGCCATAGCAGTGAACATCAGTATACGTGAGCCTTCTCGTTGGATAAGATCTTCAAGCTTTAAACATTGAATATAAGAGGGAGTGGCCTGGAGTCGCAATTAATGTGAAATTGTTGGCGAATTTGGGGTAGTTATTCTTAGAGTATTTATGCTGGGCTGCATTTTCTCTACTAGTTGGAGATTTAGTGATATATTTTTGGTCGTTAACACAAAGTTATCGATTCTCCGAAAGACATAGTATTTTTTAGCATTGGCTGTCAAGGTAATTCATATTGGTCGGTTGAATGGTGATTGTAATACAACCAAGGTTTTAAGGTTTAATACTTTTAATTTTTGATTTTCTGTGGCTCCCCCTAATTTATGAGTGTATTTGTGAAAGGAGCAGTTTCAATTCTTCTTACTAATGATTTCGCGAAGAATTTGTTTGGCTGAGTTACGAGACTGGCAGTTTCTATCCATCCCAATTCAATCAATAGTATTTCATACTTTATTATTATGTAAATTTTTTAGAAGTTTTATTTCTTTTCAGTCACTTATTTTGTACAGCAATTTTATTGGTCCTCGCGTGGTAGTGGTAGAGATGTATCTATCCAAAATTGCCATAAATTTTGTAGGCTTGCTGAGTATGGGGTCAATTTGTTTTATTTTATATTTCATTTTTGGTGTTGATATGGTTGGGTTTTTGGGTTCTGATTTGGGTAATTTAGGTGATAGGTGCAGATATTTTTTGGTCGTCTCTTCAGTTCCATTCGGGAGATCTTGGAACCGATGCTCACTAGGATCCTTAATAATTTCGATGTTTTGATGACGATATTTAGAAGAGAGAAAAGTTGTAGTCTAATAGGGTTATGTATATATGATTAATGCAAAAGGAAAAGTTAATGTAATGTTTTCTTAATCTATGTGTTTTCTGTATGAGGGTTATATCTTCGCAAAGAGAGTTACTTTCTCCTAACGTGAGACCTAGTATGTTTCCTAGTGTTTTTTGTTTTTTTCAAATAGCCACTTCCTACATTGCCATATAGTATAGGATGACTCTTGCTAAGAACGGGATTTATCTATTTATCTTTGCGGACATGATCATTATTATAATGATATTAGGCTAGTTTTCTCAGATAGACGTTTACTTGCTACTTAGCATCGCGATTCTGTTTGGTAATTTCGTTAGAGACCTTTCTAATTCTCTATTCTACTTTGTAGAGATTTGCTTCCCTGGTTCAGTAGAACACAGTCACTTATACCGTTACCAAGGCAAAAAATTATCCTCGTTACATCTATAAGGGCTTTTGTCTTCTCTTCGTTGGCCTAATTCCTTTGTTCCGATCTATGATAGCGGTCAATAAGTCTGCTTATATTGTTTTTTCGCCCGGCACGGTGATCTATCATCGCCGATAGCCTGATATCGAGTGGATTTGTATTTTTTTTCTATTGAGCTCTTCCTATCGGGTTTGCGCCACCTTGTTATTTGGACTTATCTTTTTTGGTGTACTTTAGTCTGGCTTGCCTGTGTTTAGGTCACTGTTGTCTCCACCTTGGTTTAGGGGTTATACTTGAGGTGTGCAGGGCTTTTTGTGATTGAGCTGCTTCGCTCCTCAGTGCCTCCAGTTTGTCGTTAGCCGGTCATTTCCAAAATAGCTTGGCAACAATGTTTGTCCACTATATTCATTTGAGCTAGATGTAATTGACGGGAGGATCTGGTTTTCTTTATAAGCGAATTTCCTGTAACGCCTTCCCTGGGTGGGGGTGGGAAATACAAGGGGGTAATGTCAATCATAGGAATTTTTATTAGTGAATAAATATCTTACATTGATTACTCTCATCGGTCTTATCTTTTTGTTATATCTGTCAATACTGCTAACACAATTGGAGTCATTCAGGTATTCATTTATCATATCGAGGATGTATTATAAGTTGGCAATGGGACTTTACCTATAGGGTCCAGTTACAGGAGGATATACTATGGGTGCACTGCTGAGACCACTTGGCAAAAGGAGGTGATCTGATTGAGGTTAATCAATAGTTCCTATAGGAATTTATACAAAATAAATAGGATTTTGGATGGGATTGTGGAGAGAGGGATGTTTTTCTACGGGACCCAATTCGTAGTCTAAGGCAGTAAATTGTTTTGTATATAGAAAGGCGCGTTCAAGTGAATGCAAATGTTTTGTAATGGGATATATATTTTGGACAGTCAATTGAGCCAAATAGTCAGTAAAGGGATCTTTCAAGGCATTTTGTGGTACAGCGGTATGGTGGTAAATGCTATGTTTTCTGTCTTAATAAGTAAATCAAGAACTCTTAGGTAACATTATTGTGCTCTTGTATTCGATTTTCACTAATTGTTTTTTGGGAAAGAAGCATCAATTACAAGGTGCATAATAGTAATTTATTATGATCTTTAATATAACGCAATATAAAGGTATTTACTGTCCAGTTATTGATGTACTACTAAAGCTGTTGATACTTATTTGCTTTTTGGAAAGTAACATATCTCAACCTCTTCTATTGCTTGTTTTCTAGACGGCATATTTAACGATAGTTTTGATCCTGGCGGTCGGGATATTTCTTCTCAACATCTAGGTTATATTCGTATGAATATCAATGTGGTTTTTGCGGTGGGATAGGGGTCTTGATAAGCAGGACGATTAACGACATGTGTTTTTATCTATCTGGTGCTTATTGATGGTAAGGTCTATGCGAGACATTGCTTTGGGTCGTTGTATTCTGTATGGTGTGGTTGGCACTCTTTTGACAAATCCAGATCTGCGGGGTTTGATACTTTGAGTTTTCGTCGGTCTGACTTTGATCGAAGCGAGAGCGTCAAAAAGATATTGAGGCAAGATCAGGTCGCGAGGTGCAGGGTTAAAATCCCAGGTTGGTACAGAATGATTTGAGTTGTATTAATCTTTCCCTCAGAAGGAGATAATTAAGGATTTGTCTATTTCTGGAGGAGCTTTGACTTTTCTGCAAAAAGGAGGCGCAGGATCTTTTGAAATTCGGGAGGGATATAAAATTTGCTGTGATATAATGAGTCTGATGGTCAGAAGTCTTACATACTCTTGTATTATGTCAGTACTTCTTTTTATTCGAGATAGATAGACTTGGTTGGTAAAGGGCTAATGCAGTATCTACGGTTGGATAGGACGATGTTAAAGAGGTTGGTCGGTGCCTGGTTTTGGGTAGTGGGAGGTTGGATTAGAAATGTTGTCAAGGTTAATCTAAAGGATGAGATTCTTGTGTGGGTGGGTACTGTAAAGGGGAATAGGGCGGCATTGGTAGTTGAAAATTTGTGTACGATCGTGGATTTCTTATTCTATTAACAAGATGAGTACTGAGCGTTTTTTTACCGATTTTCGGTATTCCTTGTTTACTAGAGCATGAGGAGCTAAGTCCTGTATTGTACTACGTTGTAGGGTTTGGTGAGAGCAGTTGGCAATTTGTTGGCATTTTTGTTGACGTCCGTTGAGAATAATTCATAATTAGGGGCCCATAAAATCTATTGGTGTGATAACGACAGCTCTCAACTCCCTGGTCATTCCTGTCAGCAATTTCTTCTGTATTACTCATTTGCGATGTTTTGGTTGGCAGAGCTCGAAAATGATCGAAGCCGTTAATATGGTACGAGATTGCTGTACGGTCGTAAAGCTGAACCTAACCTTTTATCAAGGGCCCAGGCTTTTTTTTGATAGGCCATTTTATAGGGTTTCTTTTTGCGAAGCAAAATACTACCGTGGCGTACTTCTTGAGTCAGTAGAGATATATGTGATGGGATTGGAAGCTCACCGATCTAATAGGGTAAGTATTTTTTTGTATTTACCGATATTTATTTCATTCTATTAAGGTTTTCCGTATATGGATGTTGTGAGTGTATGGTAAATTAGCATTCTAAAAATAAACGAAAGTACTGTTCAAATTGTTGAAATTTTCTACAACTGTTCTTTTCCAACCCAGCAAGATACTTCACTCTCTTTATGTTTAAATTTTTGCGCAAGAAAGATGCGAATTCGGGGTAAGTAAAATATAAAGTAACCATTAATTAGTTGCGCTTATCATTCATGATTGATTAGGGATTGATTTTGCTTTGGTTTTGTTCTAATGTCAGACATTATTTGATTATTGGTCTTCTTATCTGCGGCTATGATTATGATGCAACTCCTTTCTGGGTTATGCTTTTCGGTAATTTGTCATTGCATGAATCCAATGCCCGGATATATCGTGAACAATGGTATGCAGAAATAATTTATCGGAGTTGCAGGTTATGTATTCCATTTTGCTTGCGTTTTTTAACTCAAATTTTCTTATCATGTCGATTATTGAGCTATATGGATTTTTATGCTGTGGTTCTGTGAAAGGGGAGTGGTCTCAAGAGCTGTTGTATAGGTACTGGTTGTTCTGTACATTCTAGCTGCTGGCTTCAACTGTATTATTATAGGTTATTTTGTCTATCTTTATTCCGATAGGGGCAATGCAGTGGTCCTGTGTTATATTTGTTAGGTTGCGAGGACCGATATTGAATATGTGGTCGGAATGTTGTAAGATGGTATGTTAAGGAATACTGTTCCTTTGCTTTCTTATGTCATAACAAACTTTCCAGAAATATTATTCTTGGGGAATTTCTATGCTTTATTGTCGAGGATGGGAGTGAGAGTAATTACTGGGCGGTTCGAAAAGGGCTTGCGCGAAATTTTCCATGATATATATGATGGTGTCGGACAATAAATCCTAGAAACGTTCGCAGAGTTAACGACAATTTTGTGTTAATCTCACATGCAGAAGTCAATTTTCTTTTTTTCAGGACTATGAATTCCAGACATATGTTTCTGTTGAATTTGGAAGAATTTTTTTACAAAAATAATATTGTAAAAGCTTGGTGCAGGGGAGTAAGAAAGTTATTTTTGGTGGTGGGTTTCAGTCTTCAGATCGATGTGTTTGTTATCTTTCATTGCCTATAATTACAATTCCAACCCCCCCTCCCCTCACTCTGGAGGAGTGATTGGCTTTGTTAAAAGGAAGTGATCCATTTTTCCTCATGTTCCTGCCCATCTCTCCTTTTGGTTAAACCTTATATTTTCTTATCTACTTGGATTCATTTTTCCTTTTAATTAGATTTAAAATTTTGTGCATTGTGTAAAAATTTTTCTTATTATAATATAATGATTTTGTAGGTTTATAATGAATATTATTTGTATTATCTGAAGGGGCTTCATTGAAGGCTAAGAAGATTTCTGATTGAAACAAAATTTAATTCGAAGTCTCGTGTTAGTGTGATCGCTTGACAAGTGCCGATAAACGCCTGTAGTGGTTTTGAAAGATAATGATTTAATATTTTTTTTTTCCTTGATTAACATATCAACTATAAATATAAGTGTCAAACCAAACAGTTAATACCATAAACATAAATCAATTGCGTATTTTTTTCTTTAATACTAAATATTATTATTTCCATCACAGCTTGTTTATGCACATAAGATTTTATTCTATAGACTATGGCTGTTCGATTGGATTTATATAAGGTTGCCTATTTTATTTAAACTTGTGCTTTAAATATTTTGGTTAGGAAAGTTTGCGCAATTAATAAGAGGTTCAATCGATTTGCAGCAAATGACTAGATGTCTATTGGGTTTATTAGAACTCATTAACGAGGACCCTACAGCTCCTTTTCCAGTGGGTATCTAAGCAAACTCTTATTATGAGTGTATTTGTGTTATTTATAATTCTGTATCTTATCTCTATAGCGAACAAGAACTCCTGCAGTGTTTGATTTATGTAATTATAATTTTTCGGTGGCAAAGAATATTAGGGATTGCATCTGAAAAATGGCTTATCATAACAACAACAGTGTTTTCTAACTATGTTGTTAAACAAATGCGAAATTTTTTTAAATATATTAATGATGATAATTCCGATGTTGGTGCCATAACGTTTATTATATGATAACAAGATGTCGCAATTTCAATTTTTGGATGGCACATTTTAGAATTGCAGTTGATGGTCACATGTGCCTTATATTAGTGTTGTTTTAGATAGTTGGTATATTGTTTAAGCGAGCTATTTTATCTTCAGTAGGGATTGTTTTGAGTGTTATAAGGGAGTACATAAGTTGTGCCTGGTTCCTCGGCTCTAAAAAAGATGAATTTTCAAAATGTATGTCTTCGATTTTTGAAATGTATTATTGGTTATAATCATGTTTTTTATTTCTGCTCTCCAGAAAAGTCAACTTATTTTACGCGTTTGTCTTTTCTTGATTCCGATGTTGGCTTTCCAGTCGCCTTTGTTTTTTAGACTGTACTGTCTTTCTTTCCTCCTATATTTTACTTTTTACTTAGTGATCGATTATCTATACGATTCTGGTTTTTTAAGCCATGTTGTTTGTTTTTGTAGCTAAAACCCGTGCTTTTTGATCAAGGTGGCTAACTTTTTTTCTGAAGATGAAAGCAACGTAAAGGTCGGTTTGGCCACATTCTGGAAGTTGAATGGTGCTGTTTGGAGACTTAAGATTTTGTACGTGGGTAAATATTCTATGAAAAAGGTACCGTTTACGTACGAAATTTTTTTCTTCTTCGACATTGGTGCAAAGTTCATTTTTGTTCAAGATGAATTGGTGGATCTAATATATTTACTTTTGTTGACTTTATTGTCCTACATTAATGGTTTAATTTAATGAGCAGTTGTGTGGTCGAAGGTAGATCTAAACTCTGTTAGGCCTGTAGAGCAAAATGTTGTTCGTTGAATAGTGTACGAGATGCGGCGTTCGGCATTTAACAACATTTATTCGGATGGTTAGTGTATGTGTAAAGAGAGAGAGATTGTTACACTTTCAAGACAACATATTCTCTACAGGCTAACAGAGTTTAGATCTACTTCGACACAACCTTTGCTATTAATTAAAAACATTATGTAGGAAAATGTAACAGTAATATTTGTCACAATTCATCCTTGAAAACAAAAATGAAGTTTGCAAATTGAAAGAAAGAAAATTCATAAAAGACTTTTTCATAGAAATATTGTAAGTCAAATTCTTAAGTTAAAACAATCAATTCCAGATGTGGCCAAGATTCTACGTTGCTTCATCTTCAGAAAAAAGTTAGTGTCAAAAGCACGGGTTTTGCATCAAAAACTTGCAAAAAACCAGAATAGTATGATAACGATCACTAAGTAAAAAGTAAATAAAGGGGAAAGAAAGAAGTACAAAGTCTAAAACAAGCGAATGGAGCAACATCGGGAATCAAGAAAAGGACAAACGCGTAAAATAAGTTGACTTTTCTGGAAGAACAGATAGAAAAACATATATAATATAACATTTCAAAATCAAGACATACATTTGAAAATTCATCTTTTTTGATTGGGGAACCAGACAACTTTGTCTTTTAACCTTATACTGGAAGAAAACAGCTCGCTTCTTACCAACTTTCAACACACTTTGCACTGACCATCAACTGATTCTAAAATTGCCATAAATTGAAATTGGAATCTGTTTTTACGTTTGACAACATCGGAATTTATCATTAAATTTAAAAAATTTGCATTTGTTTAACACTGTTGAAAACACTGTTGTTGTTAAAGATTTTTCAGATGCAATTCCTTAATATTTTTGCCGAAATTTAATTACTTAATCAACATGCAGAAGTTCTTGTTGCTTAGAATAATAAGAAAATAATAACACAAACATACATTAAAATAAGAGTTTTGCTTTAGTAACTTGAAGGATCTGTTGTTGTTTAAGATTCTAATTGCATCTAGTCATTTGCTGCAAATCGATTGATTTATTAAATTGCGCAACTTCCAAATTTTGAAGAAGTTTAAATAAATAGGCACTTTTAAATCCAATCGAAGCCTGTTTCTTGATAATCTTATGTGTAAACAGTTGATGATGAATATTTTTGTATTGAAATGCATTGATTTATGTTTTGCGTATTAACTGTTGTTGAACTTTATTTTGTTTATATAATCAAAGTAAAAAAATATTAAATCATATCTTCAAAACCCAAAGGCTTTATCAGCATGTCAAGTGATCACACTAACAGAGACTTCGATTAAATTTTGTTCAATCGTTTATTGAAATCTTATTGCTTTATTGGCCTTAAGATTTTTTTCTATTTAATTTATATAAAAAAAATTCAAAAATGTGAAATTGGTAAATCTAATAAAAAGGAAATTATAGTGATAAGAATTAGGTTTAAGAAATTAGAGGAAAAATGAGGAAAAATGAAATTCACTTATAGTACCAAGCCATTATCCCAGGTGAGGGGGGGGGAGTTAAATTGTATTAGGATGGAGTACAAACCATCGACCTCAACTTTTTCTCTTTCTGCACCAAACCTTTAAATCACATTTTTGTAAAAAAAATTCTTCCAAATTCAACAGAAACATATTCTGAATTTCATGTACTGAAAAAGAAGTTGCTCTGGTGAGTTAACCAAAAAATTGTGTTTATTTGAAAAGTTTCTAGGATTATTGTCGTATCTTTTCAGGACAAATTTTAGGAAAGACCCCTTTGGAAGCTTAATTAATAATCATTGAAAATGTGTATATTTATTTCTGGAAAGTTGTTTGATAGGGGGCAAGTATCCTTCTCCATCTTCCACTTCCCCATTTTCATCCCTGCACTCTTAGAAGACGCCTGCTTGCCTATCGTAAGGCATAATTGTATACAGTTGGGTAGAATTAAGCAACCTTTAACAGCTTTGAAACTTTTCCAGAAAGTGGTCTCCTGTCTATCGATGTTAACTTGAGTTTAAAATAAGTTCTTTGCTAGATATATTTTGCACTTGTTCACGTAATATGGGATTGGATTCATTGCCAATGGACAAATTAGAAGAATACGAAGGAGTTGCATTAATTATGTAGGAGGAATAATTCAATTGTCTAGCTTAACAAACAGCAAAATCCCTAATCAAATGATGTGCGGCCTGAATGGCTCTTTATTTTTAGATTCGCATCTTTTCTTTGTGCAAATAATTTAACATAAAGAGGAGAAAAGTATTGCTGGGTTGGACAGAAACAGAGACAATCGTACAAAAATTTCAACAATTTAAAAGTAATGTTTATTTTTAGTCTAATGTTCCCCATTCCGACTATTCGGAAATTTGAAGAATGCATTCATCCCTTTTCCGGTTAATCGATAATCAAAATCTAATCCTTTTGACTGTGCTTACCCATCCATTTCCTTTGACTTAAAATCAGGTAATTTTCTTTTCGCAAAGTTTACTTCAAATGGGCTTATTAGGTTCAGATTTACGAGCAAGCAATTTCAGCTTAGATCATTTCGAGCTCTGCAACAAAACGTCGCATGAGTAATAGCGAAGAACTCTGTATTGAGGACAGGTCTCAATACAGAGTTTTTGGTAATTTGATTTCCTCAAGGGTCAATAACAATGCCAAACAATGCCAACTGCACTTCAACCACCTGCAAGTTTGGGCTTAGTTCCTAGCTTAGAAACAAGGTACCAACAAATGGTAAACGCTCAAGTCTCGTCTGTTTAGATAAGAAAATCACGACCTACAAAATTTTCCCCTAAATTCCTATGCCTTAAGTACCAACACAGATCTCCTCTTTCGATCAACATTGAAAACATTTCTAGTCCACAATCCACAATACCAAAAAAATGATCATCTCTATAACGTGTACTGCATTTAGTTTTCCAAAAGTCTTTGAATTAAATAGTTGTTGATAAGAGTATGTAAGATCTTTAAATAAGACTACAGTTGTAGTTGTTGTAGTTTTAGAAAAGACGCTTTATTTAAAGGTGTTAATCAAAATGCGTGAGTGAACACCATTTCTATAACGTAACATACTTTTTCAAAAGCATTGTTCTTTGAGTTGTTTTTGTACGGTTTGGTTGTTAAAAGTTTAATATTGGAAAACAGTTTTATTTTCTGTTCTTATATGTCTGTTGAGGCGAAAAACACAGCAGATTTTTGGCGACGAGAATTGTGGAAAACGATTTACTAATCTGTTAAAGTAAATAGCAATTTCATTTGTTTCCTAGGAAAGATTTCAATCAATCTATTGTCCAAATGGGACTTTTCATGCTCGTGACCTTGCTTCTCAATATTTTCTGCTTTGCTTCGATAAAGTCAGACGAGAATCAAGGTACAAGCAAATCTGTTTTCAAAGAAGTGCACAACCCTACTCAGATAACGACAAGCATGTTGCATAAGACCTTCCATCAATGCAGCCTTGATAACACCTGTCGTTACGTTGTTAAGGATATCAAGAACCACATTTTTCATCGATTTAGAGATGAGCAAGATATCCCGACCGAGAGATCAAACTTCGTTATATGGTCTAAGAAACAGGCAAGAAGAGGTATGAGTTGTTATTCCAAAGCCAAGTAATAAACAGCTCTAGTTAGTAATCAATAACTGGTTAATAAATCCTTTTATGCGTGTAAAAAAGATCTTTACTGATTATGCATTTTAATTTATGCTTCTTCCAAAAAAGGTAGTGAAGATCAACACAAGGCACAATTTTACCTAAGGAGTTCTTGATTTATGTATTCACTCAGAAATAAATATGTAACCAACCAAGGTATCACAAATGCCTGACTTTTTACTGATTTTAGTACTTGAATGTCTCTGAATTACAAAATCGTTTCATTCACTGAACGGACTTTTCCTAAACTTTCTGTTAAGCTACAAATTGGGTTGTAAACACCCCTCCTCTCTACATCACATTCTAAATTATTTTATTTTGCATATCTTCTTTGCTATTTTACCTTAATCAATCTTATTTATGCATGGGTTAGCGGTGTATGTTCCCATGTAATGGCCCTAGGGTAGTCATTGACTTTTGCTCCTCGTTGTATGATCCTTGCATTATTGTGTTGCAATTTGACAGTAAATAAGAAAATGTAGTATTCCGCAAGATGTTTTATTTCTAATAAAATCCTTTGATTTGTCTTAAATTCCAGGCGTTCAAGGAAATATAGCTTATAAGAAGCCGTCCTTGCATTCATCCGCTCATAAATATGATGGAATTGCATTTGTTGCCAGCTTTGGAAATGACGGTAACAAAACTGGGGCCTTGCAGCGATGCAGTATCACAAAAGCTGACATATTACCCTGGTGGCAAGTGGACTTAACAAGGCAAGCTGCTGTCACAAGTGTCCAAATAAAAAGTGGCGCAACATGGGGTCAAGAAAGAATCAATCCATTTGATATCAGTGTTGGAGATGCTAGATCAAGTGGTGGGCGCAACAATGCGCTTTGCGTAAAAGATGGAACGTTGGCAATCGGAGAATTGAAAAAGTTTGATTGTCCAAGGCTTTTTTTGCTTGGTCGGAATGTGACTGTGTTCTTGAACAGGGAAGAATATCTTCAAGTATGTGAGCTTGAGGTTTACAAATTTCAAACAGAATGGTTCGTGTAAAAGATCGTTATTGGTAGATTTCATGTTATATAATGATCATTCCGTATGTATGCTCTTTGCAGAGTCTTTAACGGCATGTTGAAGTGGCTTTGAAAGAAGCAAACAATATGAAACATACTAAGGTTTTCCGTCGGAGTAACACTCTTTGGAGTATAATTCGTCAGAACATAGATTAAATAACTTTATTTCTTTCCTTCTTTGCATTAATTTTATAACATTTGCGCACTTTTCTCTCTTTTATGTCATCAAAACATCGAGAATCTTTAGGATCCTGTGAGCATAGGTTCAAAATCTCTGATTGGCTGAGCGACCAAAATCCTGCATATCCCATTAGCCAATCAGAATTCAACAATATAATAACAAATTTGCCTTGCAGCTAAATTTAGGCCAATTTTTGATGTTTTTACCACTACCCGCAAGAAATAATTGTGTCAAATGTGCTGAAAGATAATCTAAATTTTCTTTAAAGAATTGAATCTTTGATGAATTCATGGAAAAACTGCCGTTGTACTCAGCAAACATTTTTCGCGATCATTAGTTAGAAAGAATTGAAACTGTCCCTTTCAAATCCTCATAATGAGGGAGAGGGAGAACAGAAAAATTAAAGTATTTAAACCTTAAAAGTTGGTTTATCTATATAATTAACAAATATGAACTCACCTGTACAAGCCAATGTTAAAATATTTTCTTGTCGGCATTTATGCTTGTGTTAACGACAAAATAAATCACTAAATTCCACTGAGAGAAAATGCAGCCCACCATTCTCTTAAAATAACTACAATTGAACAATTTCTTTGCGCTCAGGTACTTTGTATATTAATTTTAAAGGCTTGAGGATCGATGAAAAGCTCACGTATACTGATGTTCACTGCTATGGCCGAGTAAAAGCTGACGCAATTCGTCAACGGTGAAAAGGGCGGGAAAATGTCAAATGAAAATGCATCATTTAAGAAAAATTACCTTTTCTTGGGGAAAAAATTTCCCCCTTGTCTCCATTGGGAGTTACGGCCCTGAAACAGAGCTACTTAATTGGGCTAGCCATCACCATAGACAAACCCAAATCAGCACCTGTAGACGCTCTGGCAACAAGTTTCCACCGTATTTTAGTTGTTTACAGATACCGCTCTTTTTACTGTTAAAAAATCCTTCAAAACTTTGAACTACCATATCCGAAAAATCCTGTTACGTTTCTGAATTGATTACCATTTAACTGATGAATTTATAGTGACTGAATATTTGCGTACGATGATGAACGAGAATGAAACAAATATCGTACTTTCTTCCGTTCACTGTGAAGGAAGACTTCAGACCAAGTAGTTCATTGAGAAAAAGCCAACGGGGCTAGGCAATGGAAAATAATAGGCGAAATTCAAAGAATAATTATGGAAAGGATAATAGACAGTGTAATTTATGTCGATAAAAGAATGGCATGACGTTAGAATAGCGTGATTGTGAAATTAGGGCTTTCGTGTATCGGAAATCACCATCGCTACGGCTGACGGCCATAGAGTCCAAAGGTCAGTTCGCTAGCCAGACTTAATGGCGGACGTTACCCGGCAATGGTTTATAACGATTGTATCTAAATTTCAGTAACTTTTGACGAAAGTTATATATGTTACAAATTCCTTGTCCATAGAAATTCCTCATCTAGAAGAAGTTCTTCTCAATTTTTAACCAGTTCAGGTGTTTCTATTCTGCCAGCAAACTATTTAAGATTTGTCACGCATTCAAGCCAGAATAATCTCAAAATTTTAAAAAGATTTTGAAACATTAGTTCTTTATTTTGTGAATTCTTTGGGAATATTTTTGAATGCTCTGAATTCCAAGTGAATACTTTTTATAAAATTAAACTATATAAAATATTGTAAAAAAAATGCATTTGATAATGCATTTTCTTTTATCAGAAAGCTAGAAAATTTTGTCTTTTTAGTTTATACTGGAAAAAAACAGCTCACTCCATATAATCTTTGAGCTTTCTTACCACTGACCATCAAGTAATTTCATTTGTTCAAAATGTGGAATACGACTAAGAAGTCCTAATGCTAGAAGACTTGCCTTGATAATCATTTGTTTTATTAGATATTTGTTATAGAATGCTCCAAACCACTTTCTGTACATGAACTGCTTTAACAACTTGTGCAAAATATATTTTCTAAATAGGTTTTGATAAAGACCCTTCATAAAATGCAAATGAAATTCTATTTCTTGATTATTTTGAACAAGCTGTTGCTAACTCAGTTCCAAACGAAATGAAATAATCCACAGCTTTGCAAATATTCAAGAAAAAATTCTCAGAATTCTAATCATTCAATTGTACTTGTGATCCTCGCAAGGAATACGCATGTAACATAGGTAATATTTGATTTACATTGTTTACGGAATTTGAGACCCTTGCAGCCGATGGTTTTAGATTGTTGCAGGTGAAAATATGCCTTCCTGTGTAATATCATTTTTGTTTTTAACAAGGCAAACCTCTAAGATACCTTGTAAAGCGATATATATTATGAAATTGAATTCATGAAAAATTCGAACAAATCATAATTTTGGATAAGCGATTCTTTAGAAACCAAGTATTTAGATTTTGACATTATAAAGGGCATTTTATGAAAATCTGATTTTGAACAGAAAAATTTTCATGTTTCATTATGAATTTTGGCTTTACTTCGACAGTGATTTCGGTTTTAAGACTCCTTGGGCAAAACTTTGCGTGTGCTGTTTGTAAGGACTTGTTTTTACTTTGCTTTGCGTAATTAGATTTAACATACTTTGCCTTGGTCAATTTGTGTGCTTCTGCATTTAGTTTCTCTGTCTCTTTAGATGCATTTTGCTGCTGCTATAAGAGTAGCATGAGCCAAGATCGAGCAACACACTACTTTATAAAACAACACGGAAATTGAAAAAAGTGTTCAATTAGTAAAGGATAGCAAATAGAGAGGTTGTGGAAACTAGAAAACAAACTCTTGTACATCACTCTTTAATATCATTAAATGATCCATGAATCGTATATAATTATTGCAGCGTAGGAATATATTGATAAAATACCCCTGGCCTTGTCTTTTAAGTTAGTAAGCTTTACTTTTTACGAGGATTCTTCAAGCTCGAATTGAATTTTCTGAAAAATATCAATCCTGAGCTGTTAAACAAAGCCCAGAAAATATTATGACATATGATCAACAACACTATAATAGCTCAATTCAAATAACAACACTATAATTCACATCAGTTTCTGACACTATATCGTGGTCTTTGCTTTGCTATATTTAACAAAGTCAAAAGAATAGAGATTTTTTTTCTTTCTTAGTCAAAAATTGCATTGACAGATATTAGAGCTTAAAGAAAACGTCAAACTATCCGTCCTCAAAAAAGTTTTTATAAAGAATCTTTTCGGAAAAAAGTAGTTTTTTTTGTGATTGAAATTTCTTGAATAACCAAAAGTCACAGGTAAAGAAATTTCTGCCTTCGACCCCACTGTTCATAATTACTTGACTGAATAGACAGAAAACCCTAAAATACAATACTTATTACATCTTGATCAATTTCGAGATTAAAGTTGATTTTTATTATGGAAATCTCTTGCTTTTAGCAAAAGTCACAACTAAAAGATTTGTGCCTCCTACCTCACTGCTCATAATTACTGTACTGAATAGTAATGAAAATGAAACAATATAAATTACAACTGGATACATTTTACGGCTTCATGTGCATACTATGTAAAAGCATGAATTCTTTGTGCATTTTGAATTCATCGTGCAAATCCTCTATGGCTGCTAGTAGCTAGATATATTGCTTTTCTCTTTAAATGCATTCGTGCTTGCCAGGAAATAGAGAACGAATCGTGATTTCTGAGCCTTTTTCAGAATACATCTAATCCTTTATACGCCCCCCCCCCCCCTGCCAATCCTTTATACGTTGGTTTGTAAAGCTTAAGTTGGTCCACAAAGTTTCTAGTTCGGTTTCGTCGCTTATTGGTAGGTGAAAAAGCACCTTGATTTGATTCCCCTTGTCCCGGACGTTCAAGCTACTATAGATTCCTATCTTATTCGAGCATTCCTATATGCACAGCCCTTTTCTAATAAGAATAATTTTGTTAGAACACAAGCCTCAAAATTGATCAGAACGGAAGAAAAATTTAGAACAAGCTGAGGCAGAGTTACAGAAAATGTAATTTTTGACAAACTTGTAAACTCCATTGCACGTCAAAATCGTTCATCCTAGAGATAAAGAGGGGTTACTTTTAGCTTTTAATGGCTGCACCAGATGCCAATGCATTTGCAGGATAAACTAATATTGTTGGACGCAGCCTTTCTATTGGTAGTATCCTTTTACCAACAGGAGTCGCCCTTATTCTCCCAAAGGAAAGTCCATGGGTAATTTTTTGTTACGTAATGGTGGCTTTTTAATCATAGAAACACAATGCAGTAAACAATAATTATTTTCCTTAAAGTTTCAATAAATTGAGGGGATGGGGCCTTTCCCCCTGTTCCACTATCGCCTTATCAACAACTTAACTCAAAAATCGTAACTAAAAACAAAAAGGGTTTATCTATGCAGAAGAAAATAAAAATCATAAGGTTTCGTGAAGAACAGCAATCATGCCATTTACGTAAGGTAACTCTTGGTGACAGCAGGTCTGAGAAACGTTATATATTTAGATTAAAAATATCCCAGTTTTACCCCAAATCCAGCTCATGACGCTGCTGGTTACAACTTACATGGTAAATTGGATTAATGCTTCATAACTTCATAAACCTCGACTTCACATTTTGATGAATTGGTCTGCAAAGCCAAACTTCATCAAACTTCTAAGTGTAACGTCAATAATACCTTCAACGAAGCAAGTGAACGACGCCGCAGACTACCAGAACGCCTAGGAGATGGTCAAACTTTGCTTGACGCGACATTCAGCCACAGCATTGCAACTCCCTCAGAGTCCAGTCAGTCGGTTACAGCAGTAGATAATTCTCGTCATGTCTTCTACTACCCCTTCTTGGATTTGATGCTCAACGAGCTTGGGAAGAGGTTCTCTGTTGAGTCATGTGAGGTGATGATGCAATTATCAGCTTTCAATCCACTTCACTGGAATGCTGGTAACCAGGGAAAAGTTGGCATATTTGCGAGCCGTTATGGTATTCCTGCACAGCCGACCTGTCAAGAATACATGCTATTGAGAGAATCGCGATTCTTCACCAAGCTGCTGTTAGAAATGGACGAACGGAAAAAGAAAGGCTGGAAGAATCCGTGTTTACCATTAATTCTGAAGATGTTCCAGCAGAGTGACCTTCAGAGCCTTTATCCAAATCTACATTTGGTAATCAGAATTGCCTCGTGCATCCCCGTTTCTATAGCGTCTTGTGAGCGATGTCATAGCAAAGTGAAGCTAATTAACACTTATCTTCGGGCTACAATGACAGAAGATCGTCTGGAAAATCTTGTCCTGATAAGCAGCGAGAGGGATATTTCGAAAGAAATAGATTTATCGACCATTCGAAATCAATTCGCTATCAAACCTAGGAAACTGGCCTTATAATCAAGTTGTGTTGAAAAAAACTACGAACGTTGTTTATAAGATTGTTTGACATTGTTATTCATTGTTTTAAATTCTCGTTTTAGATTAATGATACCTTTTTGTTTGGCCCTTCCCAATAAACAAGTTAAAATTAAAGTCTACAGGTTGTGTTGCTCTAATAATGTATGCAGAAAGAGAAATCAAAGGATCCTAAGCCATTTTGAGACCTCAGAAATGAGAAAATCCCGGGAGCTCTTCCGGGGGCTTCGCCCCCTGGACACCTACCAAGGCACTGCCCTGGACCCGTTGAGGGGCTTTTTACAGCGTCCCCAGACCCCAGCTGTTTTAGGCAACGGCCTCTGGCCATTGCATGCGTGCCTTCGGGACACCATGTACACATAGAACAGCAAGACACAATTTTTAAAAACTTCTTGCACGCCCCGGAAAAAAATCCCCCCCTCTTTTTTGGAGGTGGCGCCGCCACTGGATGGAGGTAATATCAAGATATTGCCTATTCTCAGAAAATGGAAAAGTGCTCCGTGAGCACTTCGTTAAAATGAATGGCGATATAGAGAAGGAACTGGTTAGAAAGAGAAAATAAATGACATTAGATCCTTATTTTTCTTAATGATTTAGTTTGACTTGTAATTTTGATTTAGTAACAACATATCTTTTAATGCTGCCTGTTAAACCTTTGAAATTTAAAAAAGATTGGATTTTTTTAGGGTCATCCGATAACCCGAACATCCGCTATCTCGAATAAATTCTCGTTTTCCCTTCAGAGTTCGAGATAGCAGATGTCAACTGTATATATATAAGCTTTTCGTTTAACACTCTTCAGAGTGTAAATCGTCAGAACATATATCAAATATGTTTCATTTCTTTCGTTCTTTGCATTAATTTTATAACATTTGCGCCCTTTTATAACATAACATTTCTCTATTTGCAGTTACAGAAATCACCAGCAGCAATAATCTAAAAATGATTTATTTCTTAGACAAGTCTCTTTTTGCTAGCCATTTTCTACAAAAGCAAATAGTAATACTCCTTGTATATTGCAGGTGTAGACAAGTAGAGGCGCATCAAGAACTAACAATAACGATTGTATATAAACTTCAGTAACTTTTGACGAAAATTATCCATATTGAAAATTCTTTGTCCATAAGAACTCTTTATCTAGTAGAAGTTCTTCTGAATTGTGTGCCAGTTCAGGTTTTTCGATTCTGCCAGCAAAACTATTTAAGATTTGTCACGCTTTCACGCCAGAATTTTCTCAAAATTTTAGAAAGATTTCGGAACATTAGTTCTTTACATTGTGAATACTTTGGGAATACTTTTGAATACTCTGAATATCAAGTGGATACTTTGGACAAAATAAAACTATATAAAATGATATAAAAATAAATATATTTTACAATGCATTCCCTTTAACCAGAAAACTAGAAAATTTTATTATTTCACTTTATACTGGAAGAAAGCAGCTCACCCCATATAATCTTTGAGCTTTCTTACCACTGACCATCAAGTGATTTCATTTTTTCATAATGTGGAATACGACTTAGATGACGTAATCAAAATGGTAGAAGACTTGCCTTGATAATCAATTGTTTATTAGATATTTGTTATAGAATGCTCCAAATCACTTGCTGTACATAAACTGCTTTAACAACTTGTGCAAAATATATTTTCTGAATATGTTTTGATAAAGACCCTTCATAAATTGCAAATGAAATTCTATTTCTTGATCATTCTGAACAAGCTGTTGCTAACTCAGTTCCAAACGAAATGAAATAATCCCCAGCTTTGCAAATATTCAAGAAAAAAGTCTCAGAATTCTAATCATTCAATTGTACTTGTGATCCTCGCAAGGAATACGCATGTAACATAGGTAATATTTGATTTACATTGTTTACGGAATTTGAGACCCTTGCAGCCGATGGTTTTAGATTGTTGCAGGTGAAAATATGCCTTCCTGTGTAATATTATTCTTGTTTTTGACAAGGCAAACCTCTAAGATACCTTGTAAAGTGATAAATATTATGAAATTGAATTCATGAAAAATTCGAACAAATCATAATTTTGGATAAACGAGTCTTTAGAAACCAGGTATTTAGATTTTGACATTATAAAGGGCATTTTATGAAAATCTGATTTTGAACAGAAAAATTTTCATGTTTTGTTATAAATTTTTGCTTTACTTCGACAGTGATTTCGGTTTTAAGAAAGACTCCTTGGGCAAAACTTTGCGTGTGCTGTTTGTAAGGACCTGTTTTTACTTTGCTTTGCGTAATTAGATTTAACATACTTTGCCTTGGTCCATTTGTGTGCTTCTGCATTTAGTCTTTCTGTCTCTTTAGATGAATTTTGCTGCTGCTATAAGAGTTGCATGAGCCAAGATCGAGCAAAACACTACTTTATAAAACAACACGGAGGTTGAAAAAAGTGTTCCATTAGTAAAGGATAGCAAATAGAAAGGTTGTGGAAACTAGAAAACAAACTCTTGTACATCACTCTTTAATATCATTAAATGATCCATGAATCGTATATAATTATTGCAACGTAGGAATATATTGATAAAATCCTTCTGGCCTTGTCTTTTAAGTTAGTAAGCTTTACTTTTTACGAGGATTCTTTAAGCTCGAATTGAATTTTCTGAATAATATCAACCCTGAACTGCTAAACAAAGCCCAAAAAGTATTATTACATATAATCAACAACACTATGATAGCTTAAATCAAATAACAACACTATAATTCACATCAGTTTCTGACACTATATCGTGGTCTTTGCTTTGCTATATTTAACAAAGTCAAAAGAATAGAGATTTTTTTTTCTTAGTCAAAAATTGCATTGACAGATATTAGAGCTTAAAGAAAACATCAAGCTATCCTTCCTTAAAGGAGTTTTATCTAAGAATCTTTCCGGAAAAAAGTAGTTTTTTGTAATTGAAATTTCTTGAATAACCAAAAGTCACAGGTAAAGAAATTTCTGCCTTCGACCCCACTGTTCATAATTACTTGAATGAATAGACAGAAAACCCTAAAATACAATACTTATTACATCTTGATAAATTTCGAGAATAAAGTTGATTTTTATTATGGAAATCTCTTGCTTTTAGCAAAAGTCACAACTAAAAGATTTGTGCCTCCAACTCACTGTTCATAATTACTGTACTGAATAGTAATGAAAATCAAAGAATATAAATTACAACTGGATACATTTTGCGGCTTCATGTGCATACTATGTAAAAGCATGAATTCTTTGTGCATTTTGAATTCATCGTGCAAATCCTCTATGGCTGCTAGTAGCTAGATATATTGCTTTTCACTTTGAATGCATTCGTGCTTGCCAGGAAATAGAGAACGAATCGTGATTTCTGAACCTTTTTTCAGAATACATCTAAAATGCAAAGTTCATACATTAATACATACTTCTGACAGTATTATTATCACAGAATTTTTTCAGTTGTTTCAAAAATATAATTTCAATTTAACAAAATGATGTGCAGAAACTCTTCGCTTGCAAATTTTAACAAAAAAATTAAACGAAATTAACTTAAATTAACCCAGTATTTGACATAGATCCCAGGAAACCATTATTTGTCACACATCCCAAGAAACTAGCTGAGATAAATAAGTGAATCATTTGCGGACTAGGAATGCCTAGGCTCATTGTCAGCTCTTTGTAAATGTTGTGATATTTAGCAAATTAAGTTCCCAGTCTTGAAGTTTTAAGAAGAATGCAGTAAAAGCAATAGCTGGAAACATGAAATTTGCAAAAGGAGTCAAGAAAATTTGTCGAATTAAGAACAATAATTAGTTACGGCTATCCCAAACTGAGATTGAGGTATCAGTAGGGGATTTTTAAATTTAATGATACCATCCCAAAATATGTGCGTAAAATTAACAAAAATATTGGATTATCCTTTCAAGCCAAATGCAAATCTTTATACATTGGTGAGATCTGCACGCTGTAGTGGTGCTTGCATTGATGAAAGTCTGGTGTTGTTTACTTAGATTTGAAGATGCCAATGGAGCATCATTTGTTGCTTTTGAAATTAACAAAGTATGGTGTTGCCGAAGCTTGCTTGAAAGAGCCCTGTTTCTTGGTTTTAGGAAGGCCAAGTACCCTCAGTACCAGAGCCACACAATTTCACGCGCGTAAATAGAAAACTAAGCGGAGAAGCGGGGACCTTCGCCAGTGCTGTCGCTAGAAAATTTTGATGGAGGGGGCTACAAAACCAGTGGTTTGCCGACAAAATGTTTATGGCTATAGATACGGGCGTGGTTCTTAAACGATAATGATTATTATTGATGAAATTCGCGAATATTTACTTCTTCGCTCCTCTTCTCCAATCTTCTTGTCCTGCGCTCGAATTTATGTGGGTCTGGTACCCAGGGTAAAAAGTTTAAATAACAATGGGCCCATGCATTCTTTCAACTTTGACAGTTTTGAAAAAGAAATAGACTTTTTTGTACAGTGATCCTTGGATTCTTTTAGCAATAAGTCATTTAAGCCATTTTGCAGTCGAAGATATTAAGTCCAAGATAACTAAAGCAAACAAATATAATTGTTCTATATTATACGACTCTCCAGTCACCAGAAAGCACTAAACAGAGGCTTCGATCAATATTCAAAATAGAAAGCATCACCCAGGAGGACTGGATTGCAATCTACATTAAGTAAAAATTTTTGGCATGACAACTTTATCCGGGAGGTTGTCACGTCGAAAATTTTTTTGTGATCCACATATGCGCAGTGAATATTGACTAAAGCAAAGGCTACAATCTTTAAACATGAGTGATTACAAAATTTTTGGAAAAAAATTTTTTTGTTGAAAAAGCCCTTTTCCAAGTTAATAGGACCACCAGTTCAAATAATTATCATTATTGTTCTCATCGTCAATTACTGAGCCACTAAACTAAGGATTTGAGCCGTTCCTGTACATAAAGTTTTATGACATTGTCATGATTTCAATAGTCAGATAATCTTCCAAAGTTTCTTGAAACTTTTGTGAAACGAATGTGAAACTATAACCTCATGTCTTTTCGCTTCACACACCCAAAAGACTGTCTAAAACTTTCCTGGAAATTTGTCTGTCCGAAATTTTAAAAGTATGATATAAAATTCCTTCGACTAAGTTCATTGTCCGAACTTTAATCCGTTGAAAATTTATGTTCTTAATTTATGTGTCGCATGTTCGGTTGGTAGAAAAATTTATCCACAGCTTGTAGACGCGCAAATGCTTTCAGTGCAGTGGCTGCGAGAATTTTTGCCTTTTATTCGAAATACCCTGGGTGCCATAGTCTCCATTATTAAATCTCAGAAATAACGAGGCTCTGGTCTGGTACCTATGGTATGTTAGAAAGAAAGCCTTGAGTTCAGGCACATACCTTCATAAACCTCAACCTCGCATACTTGAAGATATTCCAACCTGTTCAAATAAACACTAACGTAACGACCCATCAGGACCTGTGGACAATCGAACTTTCTCAACTCTCCTCTGGCCAGTGTCCCGACTTTCACACACAGTGCATTGTTTCGTCCGCCATTCGTCTTGTCGTCCCCAACACTGACATCGAATGGATTGATTTTATCTGAACCCCAAGTTGCACCATTCTTTATTCGGACACTTGTGACAGCAGCTTGCCTTGTAAGATCCACTTGCCACCAGGGTGTCACGTCAGCTTTTGTGATACTGCATCGCTGATAGTCCCCAGTTCTGTTCCCATCATTTCCAAAGCTGGCAACAAATGTGATTCCATTTGCTGTTCTTGATGATGAATGTAAGGACGGCTTTTTATATGCCAAATTCTCCGCTGTTAACAAAAGTATCGTCGTATAAAGAATATTGAAACTTGGTTTAAAATTCATTGGGTATTTGTTGATAAAAAACACACATCGCAAGCCTCTTTCGGTAAAAGCATTTTGTGGAGTTTTTGCCAAGTGCAAAAGAACACCTTGTCAACGTAGAAAACAATAGGCATAACATCTAATGAGTCTCAAAAGATCTGCATTCTGATATAAATGATAAAAGAATGAAATAATTACCTAACAAAAATATACAAATTTATATATAAAAATGATCTTTAAGCCATACTCAAATTTATCATTTTTTCAGCTGGCATTTTAGGTTTAGAGTGGCCTATGATAATTTTTTTCACTTTTTGCTGACTTAAGCTTTGGTTTAAAGGAACGTTTTTTAAGACCAATTACATTTACATTCACAACCATGTGTAAAAGATTATTGTGAATCTGCATGCCAAATCCTAAAGTAAAAGTCAATCAATCAATGGGACATTTTTCTTGCAGAATCTTGTTTTGCCATTTTGGCATTTAGTTTGGATAATAATTTCACGTTTAGACTTCATCTTATTTTAACTGCAACAAATTTACTGGTCAGAATTATGCCAATACAAAAACCTGTGACAAATAAAAAAACTCTCTCTTCATTCAGACTTTGTCTGTACTATTTGGGTGATGACAAATAGATGGAGCTTTGTATTTTTACAAAAAATTGAGTGATATTGCCTGGTCTATATACTTAACCAAGAACCAAAAAAAGAAAGATAGAATATTTGAAACAAATTTATAACAAACCAGCCACAAATAATTAGATT